ATGCCAAACCGCTGAAGAATCCCTTTCTCCGATCTTCGTCTGACTTCAAAAATTCAGAGAAGTTCAAATTTAGAGAAGTATAAGCATCCTATCAAGTAGTTACTTCGTATAGGCGTAGCGGAGGTACGTCGTAGGTACCATCACTTATCGGCATCGTGAGGACGCAGGTGATTAGGTGTGACCTCAACGGAGCCATTCCACGCTGCAAACTGCTTCCGGGCTTCTTGACAGCTTCTCGTGTAGCCTTTCTTTCATCCCTATTCTCCATGTGGGCTTCTACGAAACTCCTGTGTCTGTACGCTTTCAGTGCAGCTGGTGATGCAGATACCTATACGGGCCACTCGTTGCAAATCTACAAGCAAGTGCGATATCCTTGGTATATTAAAGAACACCCCTACTGCTGTAACGAATCGATTCCACATTACCAAAATTATACTTGGGATTCCTATTTCGACTACCTCATTAGCTCTGGTGCTAACTTACAGCTGGGTGGATATAAGATCAGAGAAACAAGCAAAATCGGGGTGGACTTCTACGGCCCTTGGAGCAGAACTGGCTTCAAAGCTCTGAGGGAACGAGCGGATGCGGCCGGCAAAGTGATAATCGCAGAGTTGGATACGTTTCTCAAAGGAACCTTCGACAAGGCTTCTTTCATAAAGAGTGTCAAAGAGTTCAGAAAGGATTATCCTGTTGACGGTTTCAATGTGGGCTTTAGACATTCCGATCCCAGTAGATACCAAGTTGGGAAGGAACTTGTCGCGGCTATTAAAGAGCTCAACCTACGGGTGTCGTTAGGGTGAGTCAACAAATACCTCGGAGCAGGAGAATCCTGTTGTGATCACTGGTTTTAGCAGCTGCTTCGTCATGTTAGGTTGACAAAGGATGATTATCATGCGCAGGAATTCAAACAAACCGGCATAGGGAAGATGGTTGATAGTGTCGCTGTTTTTGCCACTCCACGTGACACGGATGAGTCCATAGAAAACTTCAATACGGGCCGTTTCGCCGAGGATATGATCAAAGATGTCGTCGAAGCTGGTGTAGATCGCAATAAGCAGATTTTATTCGTAAGTGTACACGACTCCTACAATCTTCAGTACCTTGCTGGCAGCAAGTTGCTGCTTTTCTGCGATAGAGAGTTTTTTTGGAATCACCTCATGCATTGTTGGCGCGTTCGCTGAAACGGACCTCATACCTACTGTGTAGCGTGAAATCCAGTGTTGCTTTTTAGATAACACCAATCGCTTGGGGAACCTCCTCTATGCAGGCATCAACATACTCGAATCTAATCTGCGACTATGGTGTGGACCCCAGGGGCAACGGATCATTCATCTTTCCGGATGGGAGCGGCTACTATTTCTTTTCACAAACTCGTGCAATCGAGGACGGCGACCTGGCCAAGAAGTACGGA